ACCTACCCACCAGGCCTGCCACCTACTTGTCCTTCCAGTGGTGGTGGCCGTAGTGACCACAGATGTCCTCGATGCCTGTCAGAAGGTGGTCCAGGAACTGAAACGGGCCCAGGGCCAGGTCAAGCCTCACTACTGGGCTCCTTCCCTACCGAGACTTCTGAGTAGGCCCCCCACCTTCAGACGTAGTGTTTTCTCTGTTCAGGCTAGCCCTGTAGTTCCAGAAGCAGCCAGGAGGTGGTGCTCATACCTCACTCATCCTGAACCCCAGTGGCACCTCAAACCCTCTGTCACTAAGGCATGGCTGAACTCCCTTCTCCAAACCCACCTGTGCCTGATGCCCCCTCCTCTGGCGCCCAGCTGCTCATACCACACCTCCCTTTGACCTGGTGACCGTAAGAGGCTTAAGGACCACCTGGTCTTGGGGTACGGGAGAAGGGGCTGACGGAGGGCATGGATGCGAGGCCTAGCTGCTCCCCAAGCCTTCTGCAACCAGGGCCCAGCTCCCAGTACCTGCGTGTGGATCTCCTCGTTGATGGAGCGCTTCGTTTCCTGCTTTTTCTTCACAGCCAACAGGTCTACCAGGGGCCGAATGGTCATACCCTAGGGGGCAGGTGGGTGTCAGGCCCTCCAGTTCCCCTACCCTTGCAGGGAGGCCGCTGAAACTCCCACCTCACCCTGAGGCCCCTGAGGCTGGGATGCCCTCTGCTCTTAGGCCTCCAATATCTCAACCTCCATGTCAGCATTTCTATAAAAGCAGGTCCCAAGGCCCGCTCTTCCTGAAAACACAGCCAGAGGTCTGAAAGCCCATCCAGTCAAATGACTCACATACTTGTCATCCAGCCCTGGCCAGGGGTCAAGGGCCTGGGGATAAGTGTGGGCTCTACCACAGGCGTGTTCTGCAACCCCAAGGAAGTCAGGCCTGGCTAATGGCTAATGCTCTGCCTCCCTTACAGGACTGTGACCAAAGGGGCACCTAGTAATGGCAGCAGCAGCTAATTTAACTGCACAACTGCCATGTGCCACAGCCAGTTGTGTTTTACTAGTATTAGCTCTTTAACACAACAACCATAAGAAGTAGGTCCTTTCATTGTCACCATTTTACAGATGAGGAAACTGAAGCTCAGAGAGGTTAAGTAACTTTCTAAGGTCTTAGAGAGTAGAACTGGATTCAAACCCAGGCAGGGAGATCCCTACCTCCATGCTGCCTTCATTGAAAATAGACTTGGGCCATCATCGTTTTGGCTCAGTGGTTAGAGTGTTGGCCCAGGGACTGAAGGGTCCCAGGTTCAATTCCAGCCAAGGGCATGTACCTCGGTTGTAGGCTCCATCCCCGGCCCCCGCCCTGGTCGGGGCAAGTGCGGGAGGCAACCAGTTGATGTCTCTCTCTCACATTGATGTTTCACTCGCTCTCTCCCTTTCTCTCTATATGAAAAACCAATAAAAAAATCTCCTTAGGGGAGGATTAAAAAGAAGAAACTGGACTTGGTGAGCCATTAGCATACATAACTGCATAGTCAAGGTGATAAAGTATTTTTGGGGAGTAAGCAGGGAGAGAGAACAAAAGAGGCAGCCCCTCTCCTCTTTTGACAGAAAATAAGTGCAGCCCGGCCAGGCATGGCTCAGCGGCTGAGCATCAACCTGGGATCCAGGCGATCGCGGTTCGATTCCCAGTCAGGGCACATGCCCAGGTTGTGGGCTTGATCAATGACTCTCTCATCATTGATGTTTCTATCTCTCTCTCCATCTCCTTTCCTTTCTCTGAAATCAATAAAGATATATTTTTTTAAAAAAAAGAAAGAAAATAAGTGCAGCCCCAAGAGGTTCCCTCCAATTTTTTCTCCTGAGAAGACAATTATGTTTGCCAGGATTAGTGTCCAGGAAAGACAGAGGGGATGGTAGAGAAACGGAGGCCCAGAGAGAGGGTTTTCTACTTGCCCAAGGTCACAGGTCAGGTAAGGTGGGATTTATACAATCCCAGCCTGGGCTTCCTTGGGGACTAGAAATAGGGTGGGGGTGGGCTCTCAGCTAAGCCTGGGTCATTCAAATGACAGAAATCACTGACCAGCAAGCTGGAACGATTCTTCAGGATCATCTAGCCCAGTCCCCTCACTTCAAAGATGGGGAACTGAGAGCCAGAAACGGGAGGCGGGTCTTTCCCAGGGTCACGCAGACAGCAGCAGAGCGTGGGCTGACTCCAGACCTCCTGCTGCCTGGCTCAGCAATCTTTCCAGTTCCCTGTGTTGTGCTATTATTCCCATTTTACAGATGCAGAAACTGAGATCCTAAGATATTAAATCATTTCCCTAAAGCATCGTGGGTTTGCTAACTATACCCAGTTCTCTCCCTCAGGATTCCTAAGAAGGCAGCATTCTGGCTCCTTCATATTCCAATTGGTCACTTTGCAATGACTCATTATCACAATTGCTCCTTAACAATTGGGGAAAATGAGGCCCAGAAAGGAGGAGTGGCTTGCCCAAGGTAGTGAAGCAAGGTATTGGTGGATCTGGGCCTAGAACCCGTGGCCCCCTCTTGGGTCACGTGCTTCCTATTTCTTTCCACTGGCAGAGTCAGGGTCCCCGGGCAGGGCTGCTCCACCCTGTCCAGCACCTGCACAAAAACGGTGAAGAAGATGACGGTGATGATGGCAGTGAGGAACAGGTCACACATGGGGAAGTGCTTCTTGTCCAGGAGGTAGCCCAGAGAGAAGGCGATGGCCCCTCGCAGGCCCCCATAGGCAATAATGAACTGATCCTTGGGCGTCAGCTTCACGATGCGGAACTTGTTGATGAACCAGGTCAGGCCCAGCACACCTGCCAGGGTGGAGGAAGAAGAGGGGTCAGGCAGTCCCCAGCCCCTCCTGGCTTCTGCACTAGAGATGTCTCGATCTGGAGGAAGCCTCCACGGGTAAGCCCACCCAGCTCACTCATTTCCTGGGTCCCTCAGCCCAGGGTATTCCGACTCCCTCAATCTAAGAGCTGGTGGATCCTTAAGGCCCCCAACCTGGATGTACTTTAGAGACATCACAGAGGCTTCCAGTGGCCAAAGGTTGGGAGGACGATGGAAAAGAGATGAAACAGGGTGATACCTGCTATGCTGAGAGCAGCCAGCCACCAACCCTGGCCCCGCCACACAACGCACCACACACACACACACCCAAGTCCTACACACACACACACCCCCCCAAGTCTCTCACTCTCACACACACACACACCCCCCCAAGTCTCTCACTCTCACACACACACACACACACACACACACACACACACACACAC